ACTTCAAAAAAGTAATGTTGTAGGGAACAGCAAACGAAACAACTTTTCGCTGACGGTCACTTCCAAATTCTTTTTTTTTTTTTTTTTTTTTTTTTTGCACTGAATCCACATTCTCAATTCTGCACTGAATCTGAAATAAAAATAAAACAAAGCGAGGAAAAATTATCCCACACCCTTAGAAGGCCTTTCAACCCCTTTCACGCCCCTTTAAGGCCCTAAACCCCCCCACTTACCCTCCAAAACTGGAATGAGACAAAAAAATATATGCGACCAAATTTGGATACCTCTCGGAGGGTGCAAAATAGCCCCATCATCAAAGAGAGTGCGGGGGGCGGGGGGGGGAGAGGTTTTCGGCTGTGTTTTTCACTTGCCCGGGTGACCCGAGGGCGAGGGTCCAAATCGCACTGGCCCGGCTGCTCGACCGGGCAGCCGGGCCCGTGCGGGTCTCGTAGCCCAGCTTTAATTAAGAAAATTACAAAGAAAAGGGAAAAACGAATCTATTGATTACTTCATTGTCCCAAAACGTGGAGCTTGTCGAGTGCCTAAGACTAGACTTCCAGGAGTGTTCAATTTTTTTTAATTTTTTTTTATTCAAGGCTACCTCCGTCCGTGGGAAAATAGGCGAGGCCTCGGGTGGGCCTCCGATCTTTTAGGAGGCCGAAACGAAACAACAGCCGCCGATGAGATTTATCAACGGAGGCCATCGTCGGGCCCAGCCCCCGACGTTTGGGGAGTCTGGGAGTTTAAACTCCCAGTTTTCCCTATTTTCCCAACACTGGCGGAGATATTAGTGCGCTTTAAGCCCAACCAATTCAATTACCTGTCGAATCTGGACAGAATGGCCTTTCAGGTTCATGGCGAACCCCGTAACAGCCAGCCCGAGTTTAAGCCTCCAACGAGGGAACATGTGGGGGCTGCGCCCCTGCAGGCGGGCGATGCCGGCCGGGATCAGCCGCCAGCATCAGGACCAAGCATCTTCAATGGCCAGTCGCTAAGCCAACCCTCCGGCCCCCTTGCCCTATGAAGATCACCAGTCTCTGCTTGATGCCGCTCTATTTAGCTGATCTCGTCCCGCCCCACCCCACCCCCAAAAAAAAACAACTATTTTGGTGACGCTTTTTTTTTTTTTTTTTTTTTTTTGGGTGATCTACGGCAGGGATTCATGGCAAAACTGACGTCACAGGAAATCTTCAAACTGTGCTAGAGTCCAATCGCCACAACGAAAAGAACGCAAGCGTGGGTTCACAACTTCACACTCATGCTGAGCACTCTTCGACTTTTTCAACTGATCCCCCTAGACGTAATTGTGGTCAGATACGTCCTGAACCTGCGATAATTGCTGTCAGATACGTCAAGGAAAGCCCTAGTGTGTACACGCTCTGCGACAGACTATTGTGAGACAGGCTGGCACAACATCCAGCCCGTGAGTCGAACCTCAAGACTTGAACCTACGCTGCCCTTTAAACTGCCACTACACGGCCCCAGCCTTCCACAACATCGCAAGTACCAACTCCGAACTTTTCGGGCCTCGATGGCAGCACCTGTCTCTTATACACATCTAGATGTGTATAAGAGACAGAGTACCAACTCCGAACTTTTCGGGCCTCGAGGCTACCAGAGCACAATGGTTGCCGGTGCCGACCAAAAAAAAAAAAAAAAAAAAAAAAAAAAAGTGCACCACTGGCACTTCGGAAAAGCTCAGCGCGCAGTGCAGCACCTCCAGGCCCGGGTGTACTCGTGGTTTCAGCCGCAAGTACACCGCCAGCCAAAAGGGGCAAACTTGAGAATCGAAAGTCGTTCCGAAAAGTTCGGATAAAAACAGTGCTACCGGACCAAACTGGCTGGCGACGACAGCCAAAAGAAAGGGAAAAAAATGGCGCTTGGGCGTTTCGGCAAAAAGCTTGGCGCACAGGGGGACTCTGCCTTAGGGAAAAAAGACTTGGATGCACTGGCGGTTTGAACCGCCAGTACACGGCCCCCGCCTTGCTGAAAACTTCCATACTTCGAAAGTTTCGGACGCTCGGTCTACCGGACCACAATGGCTGGCGGAGCCAGCCGGAGAAGAAAGTGCGCTGCTGGCGGTTTGGAAAAGCTTAGTAAGCAAGGCGTGCCTCCATGCCCGGGTGTACTGGTGGTTTAAATCACCGCTACCTTCCAAGCTATCGTGACAGTGCCATGACCGTTCGCCACGAGTCACAAACGAGTTCTGCCTGGCGGAAGTGGGCTCGTACAGGCCAAGTGGAATACCACCGTGGTTTTCGGAGCTACTTACAGTTTACAATGGGAGAGTGGGGGCTGCACTACCAGTGCTCGCAATCTTTGTGCATGTTGCGAACTGCATCCGACCCAAATCTCGTCTGCGAAAAAAAATACAATTGTGCCCAACCCCAACTGCATCTTCCCCCTCTTACCGCGTACAGCGTCACTTTCGCCACATCTAGAAAGGCGAGCCAAATACGGAGATAACAACCACAATACGTTCTTAATACTTCTTACTCTATTCGGGTGAAGATGGTTAACCCTGTTCAAACCAAATCAACCGTATGTCC